CTCAACTGGAGGGTGGGGGCTGGATGGGGCTTCCTGTGGCGGGCAGCTGGTGGAATTCATTAATTCGTTTGTTTGCTCAATTGGTTGCCAATTCAACGCGTCCCTTCTCTAGTGCTCTGTGCCCAGTGAGGGGGACCAGCGGACTGGGCCCGGGTGGTCGCTGCTGAAGGAAAGGCAGGCTGTGGAGGTGGGGCTGTGAGTCTGGAAAGATGTCAGCTTCTGCTTCCCCCTGTGGACTTGACTCCACATTGTGAGGGAGCCCGAGGTGGAGGGGCATGACCACCACCGACAGGCTCAGCTGGCGTGAAGGGGCTGCCATCTTGGAAATGAGTCCTGCAGCTCAGCGGCTGCCATGTCCATATCAGCTCTCCTCACATCACACGATTGTGGTCTAAGGTGCTGAGCTTGGGGATGGCTGGCCAGGCGGCCGGAGGTGGCAGCAGCAGAGGGGGGGCTGGTGTACGGGAGCCTGAACCACGTGCCACCCCGGGATTCTTTGGAAAGCCCCCCCAAGAGTGCAAGAATAAAAGAGATGTGGAGAGAGCAAGACTGAGGAGGGAAAGTCAGCGTGAAGTGTTGTCACCAAGTTGTGGTGCTTGATCCTTGAGGACCCCTAGAGCTCTGCTGCGAACTGTCCACTTTGGGGACAAAGTGCAGCGTGACTGGCACGGGCTCCTGCCTCCTGCTGTCTGTATTGTCCCCTGGGATGGCAGGGCCCTGTGCCTGCGGTGCTGCGTTTGCGGATGGCACGCTGGTGCCCAGGCCGCCACGTCAGAGGAGGCTCGGGACGGGAAGCAGTAGACACCTGTCACGGACTCACTCAGGGATGCTGGCCATCCCGTGAGCCTGGTGGAATACCCGTTCCCTGTCGCCTGGGCTGGAATAGGACAGCCCAAGAGGCCAGGAGACAGAGGCATGCAGGTTGGCGGACCTGTGAGGTGCTTGAAGTCTGCCCTTTCACAGTGGCTGCGTCCTGGTGCTGCCCTTTATAACCAGCTAAAACGGATTGTCTGTGTCTGAGTCAGGGGCCCCCTGGGCTGTGACCCCCACACCACCGAGCTCCCCTGCCCCAGACTCCTGTGGCAGCCATGGAGACGGTCCCTCAAACAGGAGCTGCTGGACGACTCACAGAATTTTGGGTGGTTTTGTCCAACTTTTATCAACAACGCTATGCTTCTGCTAGGAAAGTTCTGAAGCCTGTGTCAGCTTGTCTGACTTCAACCTGCTCAGAAATCCAAGAGAGGCATGGGGAGGCCTCAGGAAGAAAGTACAGAGGCCACTTCCCAGGGCAGTTTCAGCAGTGCCACTTCCTCTCTCGGAGGGTCAACGGAAGCAGCACTTCCAGATCCCGCTGGAAATCTGAGACCCACAGGAAGGACAGCCTTCTGGGAGACCTTTCCAGAAACCTGGTGCCTGGCTACCAGAGGTTGGGTCAGGTTCAGAAAATCTCTAACCCAGTTCTCACTCGGGTCCAGGTGCCTCTGAGCGATGGCTGGGAGCCATGTTCTCAGAATGGCGGAGCAGGAAGAGGCCCTGGGAAAGCCTTCTGCCTCCTGCCTTCTCGACACCGGCTGCTAATGGACTCCATCTTTTGGGCAATGAAAAAGGACCACACAGAACATGTCCAGAAACCCTCTGGGGAGGAGATTTCACGAGTGCCAGTGTGTGGAACTACCATGGTAAAGAGGCCCCTGGTCTGTCTACTTGGACTCCTGTGTTCAATGGGAAACGGCCCTGTTGAGAAAGGAGAGCTGGGGGCACCGCTGGGATGGTGATGTTTTCTTACTGAAAAGGACGACATGTTCTGTTCTGTTCTGTTCCAATCCACTGTTTGGCTTTGTGTGAGTCAGTGCCAGAGGACAGCTCTGTCCCTGAGCGATGATGCCTTCCCACCTGCGCAGACCGGACCGGGGTCTCTCAGCTTTCTCCCGGCTGGGAGGCTGCGGGGCGCACTCTGAGCACCGGCGCTCTCCCTGACGCAGGCTTGGCTGCTTCTGTCATGCCATCTCCCTCTGTTGGCCAAGTGACCTTGAGCAATCATTCCACCTGCCTGAGCCTCAGTTTCCTTATTTGTCCTAGTTGAAGCCTTCCCTGCCCTTCCCAGCTCACTGACCTCAGTCACATAATGGGCGTGCAAATGTTGGCTCCCAGCACCAAACCACATCGTGACAGGGTGGAGCTGCCCTCAGGGGGGTGGATTAAGGAAGCTATCTCTCCATCTCTCCTCCTTCTCTTTGCTTCTCTTGCCCTGTTGTCTTCCTTCTCTCCAGCTGGAAAATCTCAGCCACAGGCTTCTCTGGTCTTCAACACTAACCACAGCCTCACATCCCAGAGGAAGTATTATTAGCTTTAAGTAGAAAAATTCCCTAACAGATCATGATGACTTGGGGTGTGGCAGATGGTGTAAGGATGGAGTCCTTTGATTGGTCCGGTTTGAGTCATGTGCTTATGCCTGGTCCAATCATTGTAGCCCATGACAACAGACTATTATGATTGGTCCACAACCTCCATGCTCATCCCTTGGGTGGTACTATGGCTGGGGGTCCTGTGAGAACTACTAGACAATGCATTCTGTAGGACACTAAAGTGTGTGGGTTTGTTTGTTTTTTAGTCTTTGCAAGAGAAGCAGACTCTGCCACAGGCACCCAGTAGCCCCAGCCATGAGTTATCACACCCAAGGTAACTTGAATTATGTATCTGCTTATGGTCTCATCTCATTGGCACTTTTTTTTTTAAACCCACTGGTTGCTGTCCTGTGTTAGAATTCAAGTACTTCAAAAGTGATGAACTCGGTCTGGCTTGTTTTCTGTTGAATTCCCAGTGCTTAAAAGCACTTGGTCAGTTGATACCTGTGAAATGAAGGTATGAATGTCAGCGGTCCACCTCACACAGCGTCTCCGGGAGTCCCACTGATCTTCCAGGTTGCCGGTTAATGCTCTCTTCCTTGTCCATGCCCAGTGCTCTTCAGCCCTTCTGCCTGCGGACCACCGCTCTGTCCTTAGCTGGTTGTAAAGTGTGAGTTCAGCTCCCCTGGCGATACAACCTGGGTGCACTGTATCTCAGGGTGGCTGCCTTCTCATTCCAGCCCCTGTGAGTCCCACTGCACCCAGCACCTCCTGCATGCACTCAGCTGTGTGTAACATGGGCATTCTGAAAGCACGGCCAGCAGAACTTCCACAAGTGTAGGTGGGAGCCGGGCAGGAAGGAGGCCTCCCCAGCCAAGGGACCCAGTCCGGGAATGTGCCAGAAGGTAGTTTGCTCATGGGTTCAAAGGGGATTGATTTGTGATAGGCGCCACCTTCTTCTCCTCAGACTTTGTTGTTCAGATGCCAGCCCCACCCCGGGCCTGCTCCACTTGTCCTTGAGTTTATGCCGTGTGTCATGGCTGTGGGGGTGGTAGTTCCCTTGCTGGGCAGGAAGCTCATGAGGTCAGAACCTACTAGCACAGCACAGCACACAGTGCAGCACAGCACAGCACAGGGCGTGGCAGGGCAGGGGAGGGCAGGGCAAGGCAGGGGGGCTCCTCTGCCCTCACTATGGTGGAGCCTGTGGCCCCTTAGATGCCACAGCCAGAATGATGTACCTGAGATGCTTCCTGAGCTTTTCAGGACTCTGGGAACAGAGGAGGAAGCGAGTGCTTACGTGCGTCATCATGCCTTTGTTCACCCATTCGTTTTTCTTCCACTCCACGTCTTTCTTTTCTTTTCTTTTTGGGTCCGGGCCTGGGCGCTGTCCCTCAGCTCTTCAGCTCAAGGCTAGCGCTCTACCACTTGAGCCACAGCACCACTTCCAGCTTTTTCCTTTGCTTATGTGGTGCTGAGGAATCGAACCCAGGGCCTCAGGCATGCAAGGCAAGTGCTCTACCACTGAGCCACCTTCCCAGCCCTCCACATCTTTTTCTGTGTGGCTGGAACTGGCCTGCTGGGGGTGGGAATGGACCCTGGGGACAGAAGGCTCCCATGGCTGCTGCCCTGTGGGCTCCCCGCTGTAGGAAGTGGCTCTCACCCAGCCCTGCAACGTGGCCCTCTGGGGAGAGGGGACCTGGCTGGGGCTGAAGGGGATGAACTGGCCAGGCTGGGGCTCCATCCTTACCTGTGGGAACCACTGGGGTCTCCCATGGTGGGAGCCCTCCCTGTCCCTCACAGTTCTGGGGTCCCAAGGTAGGCACAAGACTTTGGATGGGGTGGGAGTGGGGAGGGAAGAGTGAACTTCTCCCAGCTTGGGAGGCAAGCCAGGCCAGAGGCTTGTGGGCTCCGCGGGCCAGCTGTTCAGCCGGAATGCCCACTGTCTCCGCCCAGGAAGGAGGCCGAGGAAGGCCAGACTCTCTCCCACGGGCTTGGGAAGAGGGAGCGTGCGCCCCAACTGCCCTGATTCGGGAGCCGCCATCGCTTGTCAGCCACATCGCCGTGGCTATGGAGCTGGGGCAGAGGCGCCCACAGAGGTGCAGGGTGTGGGAGGGTCCTGAGGACTAGGTCCTGGTCCTGATCCTTTGGCTCCCGCTTGGCCAGCTTGGCCATCGAAACCCCTGGTATCTGGGAACAGCAGACCCTGTCTGACCTCTGTCCTGGGATGGTCTGTAGGATCTGCTGACTGCATCTTGTGCTACCTCAACAAATCCCAGGGCCGGTTCTACTCCTGGGACTGTCTTCTCCCCACCTCAGGCTCAGCCACTGAGTAACACCCGGTCCCCACCACAAGCGGGTCACACAAAACATGCCCTGGACTTGGCAGGCATAGGCTCTTGCATCGCTTGTGAAAGTATCTCTGGGTTGGAGTTTCCAAGACAGAGACTGGGCATGCATGCACATCGCTTTTATCCTTTTAATAGATAGACTCATTTCATCTATGGGGTGCCAACCACACCATGCATGTGACTTTCTGGTAGTGGTCGCCAGCTGTATTCTATTTTCTTTTTCTGGCAGTGCTGGGGTTTGAATTTGGGGACTCAGGGCCTTACACTTGCCCACTGCCACATGAGCCATGCCACCAGCTCAGGTCTTCTACTTATTGACTTTGGCTTTCTTTCCTTTGTTGGCTTTGCTGGTCTTGGGGGACACCTCTCGGGGCACGGGACCCATGATGCTGGGAAGGAGGGGTAGTGGAGCATTGAGGTTCAAGGTCTTCTTCTGTAGCCTCAGGTCCAGAATGTCAAAAGCCACCTGGATCTCGTACTGCAGCAGCTCCCGCAGGCAGGCAATCTGGATGTGGATGGCTTCGCTGACCAGGTGCTCCAGCACCTGTGGGGACATGGGGCAGGCTGGTGAGTGGCTCCGGTCTTCGCTCACCTCGTCCCCCCTCCCTCTGGCTGGGTGTGTCCCTCTCCACCCTCGGCTGTGCGGATCCCACTGGAAGGCCTCAGCCCCCAGCCACCTTGACCCCTGGCTTCACACGTTCAGCCAGCAGGAGCTATCAGGCCTGTAATGCTAGCTGCCAGGAGGCTGAGATCTTGAAGCCAGTTGGAGTGGAAAATCAGAAAGACAAATCTCAAGTTAATCAGCAAAAAACAAAAACAAAAAATCACTGCGAGCAATAAAAGTGAAATGTAAGCATTGATTTCAAGCTTGAATAGAAATGTGCAGTGAGGAGGGGGAGAGAGAGATAGACAGAGAGACACAGAGACAGACAGAGACAGAGACAGAGACACAGACAGAGGGGGCAGGTAGGATAGGTTGGGACTGGCCATGGTGGCTCTCTCTCTCTCTCTCTCTCTCTCCTTCTCCCCCCCCCCTCTGGTACTATAGCTCTCATTTTGGGGTTCCTTCCCCCACCTTAGGTCCACCTTGAGCACATTACCTGTCTCTCATATGGTTCTGGCCCCAGTTGCATTCCCCCCTACTTCTGTGTTGTGGATCCCCTACCCATTCTTACATCTCCAAGCCCTGGTGACAGGCTTCACTGGAGGAATGGGAAATAGAGGAAGAATGGAAACTCAGCCACTGGCTGCCATGTTAGCAAGGAGCTCTCTGCCACCCCCTCACACGCATGGTCCCACAGCATCAAGGGCCACGACTGTCCATGTAATTGTCCTCCCAGTCTCGCCTGAGCCCCCTGGCTGGAGGAAGGCCGGGTAAGGAGGATTTGTTTGGCCTCTGTGGGAAATCTTCATGTATGTAAGCCTTTCCATGTGCTGTTTATTTGTGGACTCAGCCTTAGAGATACCTACATCTAAATCTACATCTACACATATAGATATCTAGATAGAGATGAACAGCTATAGTTCTATGAGAAAGAGTCACAGCTGTATAGTCCTCAAACTTGTGCTCCTTTTAGCCTACTGGGATTACAGGTGTGTACCACCACACCCAGTTCCTCAGACTTTGTTTTAACTTTGAAGGAATCTTTCCTCTTCAGTTGACAATTCTGAAGCCCCAAACAAACATCCCCTTTGGATTGCAGACTGTATGACTCCATCCCTAAGGCCTGAAACAGCTTTGTGAACACCTGTACACACACACACACACACACACACACGCACACACGCAATGCACACGTGCACACACAGGATGTGTGCCTATAGAGATGCCTACAGAGACACCAGTGCCTGTGTAGAGCAGTCCTGTTTCTTGGGATCTCCCGGCCCAGCTGCCCAGGGGCTCTTCCCAGGGTGGTCTCCACACCCCTTCCCTCCACAGGCCCAGTCTCCACAGAGGGCAGCCTGAGGGGCGCTGGAGACGCGCACAGCCCGGCCCCTTCCCGCATCTCTCAGTGGCATCCATGACACCGCAGGAAGATTCAGACTTTTGGGTCAGCCAGGCCTCGAACCACCTCAGTTCTCCCACACAGAGGTTTGGTGGCCTTGGACATTTTAAGTACCTAGATGCCTAAGGCCCTTCAGGAAGCCCTGCAGGGCGGGTCTGGGTGGTCTGGGGTGGGGGGTGTGGCCGCAGTGTGGAGTGGGCGGGGCGATGGAGTGGAGTGGGCGGGGCGAGGAAGGGGCGGGGCAAGGGAGTGGAGGAGGCGGAGCAAGGGGCAGAGTGAGGGAGTGGAGTGGGAGGGGCAAGGGGGTGAGGGGCGGGGTGAGGGAGGGAGGGGGCGAGTGGAGTGGGCGTGGCGAGGGAGCAGGGCGGGTGGGGCCGGGCCTCACCTCCCGCCGCAGGGTCCGGTGCTCCTGCTCATCCGGGCACTCGAAGGTCTTCTGCAGCATCTGCGTCTGCTCCAGGCTCAGGGCTTCCTTCAGCAGCAGCACGTCGGCGCGCTTGTGCGCCTCCTCGGCGTCCAGGCGGGCCACCTGCTGCTCGTGCCTCCACAGGTCGCGGTCGGTGCCCTGGGCCAGCGGGAGCGGCTGCGGCGGCGCGCACATCTCCAGGCGGGCGACCGTCAGGTTGACCTCCTGGTCCTGGCCCAGCACGTACTGGTAGAGCCGGAAGTGGCGGATGAAGGTGTTGTGGAAGTAGTCGCAGAGGGCCAGCAGGTGCGTGGCGTTGAACTGCGCCTGGTAGTCCCGCAGCTTGCCTCCCAGCACGGCCACCGCCTCGGAGATGGAGCGGCCTGCGGGCACAGGGAGGCGGCGCGGGGTGGGTGGAGGCCCAGGCCGGGCAGCCCGAGCCCGGTGGTGGGGAACCGGGAACCCAGGCCTTCTTCAGCCGCGCGTCTGCAGGGAGGACACCGGGCCACGCGCCTCTGGGGATCCTGGTGCCATCGGGCAGACAGTGCTGACCCCGTGGGAAGGGTCCCAGCTCCCCCTTCCTCCCCTGCCCCCTCTCCTCCCGAAGGGTCCTGACCACTGTCCGTCCTGGGCACCCAGACGAGCAGGACGAGGAGCCCGGACAGAGGGTGACCCACGCGCACACTGTCCCCAGATCCACCGTGGACTCTGCCACCCCCCCATGCCAGCACCCCAAGCCTCGCTGGTCACCCACGCACACACTGTCCCCAGATCCACCGTGGACTCTGCCACCTCCCATGTCAGCACCCCAAGCCCCACTGGCCACCGCAGGAGGGGTGACAGCTTCCCCTACCAGCTGTGGAATGTGCCCTCACCACAGCTCCATGTCCGCTGTGCGTGGGAATAGAGACCTTCTGGTCCCCAAGGATGGAAGGGCCCTAGCCTCGACTTAGAAGAGGGTTTGTGGGCCTCTGAAGACCAGCCCAGCTCAACAAAGCCCTGTTCCTCGGCACCGAATCTCTCACTGGGTTTTAAGTGGCAGCCCGTGCCCATGGTGGTAGGGGACAGCTTGTGCCCCATGGGAGCCCCTAGACTGTGGCTCTTACCCAGAGTCACTCAGAGCTTTGTAAGCAGCAGATATCCCATCGATTCGAAAGGCAAATGCTGCTTCCCAGGTGTGTGTGTGTGTGGGGGGGGGGGTGCTCTGGAAATTGCCACCTTGTATCTTGGGTCAGAGCCAGAAGACAAGGGTCCCCAGACCCCTACCAGCTTCTGGGGCCCTTCCTGCATTGGGGTAAGCCTCAGGCTGGTTGGCATTTTGTTCTTTTAGGCTTTGGAGGGGGCTGGTTCAAAATGCCAGTAGGCAGTCTGGGCTAATTTTAGGACATTTGTGGCACAAACTCACTAACCAAGAGCAAAGATGTCTTTAATAGATGAGATCTGTGTCGAGGCACAGGGTGAGAAAAGCACAGAAGTGTGGAGGGGTTAAAAAAGCAAGCCCAAGAGGTGGGTAGGTGCTGCTGGGTGGGGAGCTGGGCTTGGAAGGCTGGGCAGGAGGGAAGGGGTCCTGAAATTGAGGACGCTGGGGACGAGGAGGAAGACTTCCAAGGGTGGCGGAAGGTACCCCAGGCAGAGGGGCAACAGGGATGGGGGTGGCTGGAGCGGGCATGGCTAGGGAAGCGCATGCGCAGTGAGTTTCTGGGAGGCCAAGTAGGAGCAGGGAGACTGAGCTGTAGATGAATAGGCTCGGGTTCTGCAGTTTGAGCTCAGGAAGGGTCTGTCGGCCACGTGAACGCTTTGGACTTCACCTGGGGACCCCAGGACATCCAAGGATAGGCTTCGGGACTGCCTGGGAACCCCAGAATGGTCACAATTTTGCGTGCAGATTGCTTTCTTCCTGGGTGGAATGTGCGTGTGAGATCGAGATTTCTCCAAATTGAGAGCTTCGGTGGAACTTCGGAGCCCTCGGTGGACAGGTGGGTTGGAGGTGCTCAGAGGAGAGCAGCCACAAGGTCCTGCTCTCTGACCATTAAAGCCCTGTGAGGTAACTGTGGGTGAACTTCACGAGCTGACTCATCAGACCTTCACCGGGCTCCTAGAAGTCAGACTTGCAAGAACGCACCTTGCTTCTCCCTTCTCCTGGCAGGGTAGGGGGTTAACGTCAGCTCCTCCACACCAATGGGCACATCTTGTCTCTTTCACCCAGGCCAGCCTGCGCAGAGCCCAGACTTGAATCAAGAAGTCTTGGAGGCAGTCATCTGGACTATTCTAGAAACATGTCAAGTGCTTTCAGTGCTGCCACCCCAGCCCAGGAGGTAATGAAACACCAGCATGGTGGGTTTGTGCTGGCTCAACAGGAAGCAGCCCTGGCTGAACTTGAACTTCCACCCTTGGAGACTGCTTTGACCAGTCTGAGTTCAGCAGAGCTCAGCTAACACCTGGCTCCCGAGACAGTCTTGGCCCGGAGTGTGCTCCCTGCATCCCAGTGACTCAGCGAGCAGGGATTAGGTTCCAGGAGCAGCCACTGCCAGGGCCGCAGATCTGTGCCTGCACATCGCTCTGCAACAACAGGGAGTGGCCTTCATTTGCCTTGGCTATTGGGAACTTCCTGAAGATGGTCCCCAAGTCCCTGGAGGCCAGCACCTGCAGAGGACAGGGCTCCGCTGGGAGTGGAGGAGGGAAGCGCGGGGGTGGCTCTTCAGATGACGGTGCCAGAGGCTCCAGCAGGCAGAAGGCAGAGGGCTGCACCACAGAGCGCACAAGACTTTTGCCAACCCAGGGGAAGAGGGGAGGTGAGATCAGGTGTGTGTGTGTGTGTGTGTGTGTGTGTGTGTGTGTGTGTGTGGTAGAAATGGGAAGAGGGTCTGAGATCAGGGTGTGTGTGTGCGTGTGTGTGTGTGCGTGTGCATGTGTGTGTGTGCGTGCGTATGTGTGTGTGTGCGTGCGTGTGTGTGCATGCGTGTGTATGTGCGTGCGTGTGTGCGTATGTGGTAGAAATGGGAAGAGGGTCTGAGATCAGGGTGTGTGTGTGTGCGTGTGTGAGTGTGTGTGTGTGTGTGGTAGAAATGGGAAGAGGGTCTGAGATCAGGGTGTGTGTGTGTGCGTGTGTGTGTGTGCACGTGCGTGTGCATGTGTGTGCATGTGCGTGCGTGCCTGTGTGGTAGAAATGGGAAGAGGTCTGTCCTCCCAGACGGGCGCTGCTGGAAGACCCCAGAAGCACCAGTTTCCTCCACAGATGCTCTCATCGCCCCTGTCGCAGCTTTGAGGAGAAAGAACCTGACCAGGGTGCATTGTGGCTGTTTCCCCAAATCTGAGTGTCTGGTTCTGGAGGGTTTGGAGGTTTGAGGCACTGCAGGCAGCCTGCCACCCTGTCCGGCTCCATCCTGCCTCTCGGCGCTGCCCCGGCCCTTCCTGCTCTTCAGCAAGTGCTGCTGAACGAACGCCCTCTCTCCCTCCCGGAGCCGGGGCTGTGATCTCACTGTCCTCAGTTTGAGTTCCCACAGTTCTGCCTCACGCACACCTGGGCTGAGCTGCAGGCATATCGTCGCTTCCTGTTCAGAAAGCAAGGCCCTGCCGCGTGGGCTGCACCGCCCCTGGCCTGGGGACGGGTGGGAGTTTGGGATCAGTGCCCTGAGCAGCTCCACCTTTGCTGCTGCAGTCCCTGGCACAGCCTTGCCTGTCCCTCATGAGCACCCCCTGGGGGGGGCAGTGGCACAGCCACCTGTGGAGCCAGGAGAGGGGTCCGGGAACTGTCTGCTTTGGCCTATCAGGTCCTCTTCCACCTTGGGAAGGACCAGTGACCTCACTCCTGAGGATCTTAGGACAGCCTGCGACACACTGAACATAGCCGAAGCTGCACCCGGCCACGCTGGGACCACAGACAGAATGCTTGAAAAGAGAGATTTGACAGGAAGAACATCCCAGAACCAAGAGCCATGGGCTCCTGGAGTGGGCCATCTGACATGGGACAAGATGTTCACCAGAGGCCTCTCGTGTCCCAATGTCCGGGAGAGCAGAATTGTGTTCTGAGTGGGCTGCAGACAGACTCCCGCTCCGGCCCTTTCAACTCTAGGATTCCACAACCTGCCACGCTCATTGTCACCCCAGACATGAGAGGACGCGCCAGGGGTCAGCTACTGCACATACTTCCTCCTCCTCTCTGGCTGGCCCACACGTCCAGCTGGCTGAGGTAGGACATGAGCAGGGACCCACAATGGCCCCCAGGGAACCCGAATATCTGCCCACAGCCCGGTGGTATGTCCAGGCCAGACGCGTCAGCTGACGGGCACACATCACTCTGGCCTCTCCACTGGGGCCTTCCTGCGATGTCTAGCCTCACACCTGGCCCTCCCAGGTGCTCTCTTCTCCACAGGGGCTCCTGCCTCTCAGATCCGCACATCCCCCCAGTCCACCAGTGCAGGGGCAAAAGGTAGGCTGGTGTGTATGTGCTCTGCAGACAGACCTGGGTTCAAATCCACACACTGCTTGCAGCAGGTGTGGCCTTGGGGGCTGGGAGGCGAGGGCACTAACCTCTCTAGGCCTCAGTGCCACGCCTTTCAGTACAGCCTGACACCAGGCTAGAAGGACTATTACAGATGCTTCCGTGGCCTGCTGTGGATGTCTGATGACTTAGTCACATGGCCTTGCCTGGGTAGCTGTGACTTCACTGGCGGGAGGAGGTGGGGAGGGGGGAGGTGCTGAATGTGCCCTTCCTACCCCTGAATCCTCAGGTTGAAGTCCTAATCCCCAGCACCTCAACACGTGACTGCATTTGAAGATGGGGCCTTAGAGGTAACGGGCTAAATGAAATCCTCCTGTGTGAGATGGAGGGGGGACAGGTGGGTACTGAGGGAGGAGACGCGATCTTCGAGCTAAGGAGAGAGGCCTCGGGAGCCAGCGCCATGACACCTTGTCTCAGACGCCCTGCCTCCAGAACCTTGAGGACCCCGTGTCTAGTTAACGCTCCAGGCCTGTGGCATTTAGTGACACCAAGGAAGAATCTGAGAGCTGATTGCCATGCGCTGAAGCCCAGAACTGTTCTCACAGGGTTCTCACAGGTGAACTTCAGCCAAGTTTTACCCAAAGACTCCCTCCAGGCCCGGGCTGAGGCTGTCCGGTTGGCCTGGGAGGAGGTCCCAACCCATGCTGCGGGGTGTGTTTTTTGTTTGTTTCGTCTTTTGTTTTTCTGGGCTGGTCCTGGGGTGCTGGGGGCTCCCTGCTGTGTTGTGGCTGATAGACCCCAGGCCAGGAACATTCTGGAAGGCAGAGCTGTGCAAGGACTGGTGAATCGCAGTGCCAGGCCAGGGCTATGAGGGGTAGGCAGGTGGCTGCCTTCCCATCCTGTGGTGGCCTGAGTGACATTTCCTGGAGAACTAGGAGTGGC